ATGAGCGTGGTATGTTTTTCCATTTATGCAGATCTCTTTTGGTTTCTTGCAGTAGTGTTTTGTAGTTTTCTTTGTATAGGTCTTTTACATCCCTGGTTAGATTTATTCCTAAGTATTTTATTTTTTTATGGGCTATTATAAAAGGTATTGTTTTCCTGATTTCCTTTTAGTCATTCTCTTTATTGGTATATAGGAATCCAACTAATTTTTGTATGTTTATTTTGTATCCTACTACTCTGCTGAATCTTTCTATTAGTTCCAGTAGGTTTCTCATGGAGTCTTTTGGGCTTTCTATGTAGAGTATCATATTATCCGCAAACAGGGACAGTTTAACTTCTTCCTTACCAATTTGGATGTCTTTATTTGTTTTTCTTGCTTTGTTGCTCTAGGCAGGACTTCCAGCACAATGTTAAATAGGAGTGGTAATAAAGGGCATCCTTGTCTTGTTCCTGTTCTCAAGGGGAATGGAATGTTTTCAGCCTCTCTCCATTGAGACTGATGTTGGCTGTTGGTTTTGTATAGATGCCCTTTATTATGTTGAGAAATTTCCCTTGTATACCTATTTTACTGAGAGTTTTTATCAGGAATGAGTTTTGGACTTTGTCAAATGCCTTTTCTTTGTTGATTGAGATGATCATGTGATTCTTTTCTTTATGTGGTAGATTATGTTGATTGATTTTCTAATGTTGAACCATCCTTGCATACCTGGTATGAATCCCACTTGGTCATGGCGTATTATTTTTTTGATATGATGCTGAATTCTATTGGCTAGAATTTTGTTGAGAATTTTTGCATCTATATTCATGACGGATGTTGGTCTGTAATTTTTTTTTTTTGGTAGTGTCTTTACCTTGTTTTGGTGTCAAGCTTATGCTGGCTTCATAGAATGAGTTCAGAAGCATCTTTTTCTTTTCTACGTTCTGAAATATTTGAGTAGTACTGCTGTAAGCTCCTCTCTGAATGTTTGGTAGAATTCTCCAGTGAAGCCATCTGGGCCAGGGCTTTTTTGGTTGGGAGCTTTTTTTATTACCTTTTCAATCACTTCTCTTGTTATGTGTCTGTTCAGATTTTCAACATTATTTCGTGTTAGTTTAGGTAGGTAGTCTGTTTCTAGAAATTTCTCCATTTCCTCTAGGTTTTCAAATTTGTTGGAGTATAGTTTCTCATAGTACTCTCTTGTGATCCTTTTTATTTCACTTGGGTCTGTTGTAATGTCCTTCGTTTTATTTCTCATTTGGGTTATTTGTGTCCTCTCATTTTTCTTTTGTCAATTTGGCCAGTGGTTTGTCAATTTTGTTGATCCTTTCAAAGAACCAACTTTTGATTTTGTTGATTCTTTCTATTGTTTTTTTATTCTCCATTTTATTTATTTCTGCTCTGATCTTTATTATTTCCTTTCTTATGGTGGCTGTGGGCTTCTTTTGCTGTTCTCTTTCTATTTGTTCGAGTTGTGCAGCTAATGGTTTGATTTTGTCCCTTTCTTCTTTTTTTATATGTGCATCTACTGCTATAAATTGACCTCTGAGGACTGCCTTTGCTGTGTCCCAAAGGTTTTGGTATGATGCGTTTTCATTCTTGTTCGATTCTAGGAATTTTTTGATTCCGTCTTTGATTTCTTCTATTACCCAGTGGTTTTTAAGCAGTTTGTTATTCAGTTTCTATGCAGTTGATTTGTTTTCCTTGCTCTTCCTGTTGTTAATTTCTACTTGATACTGATTTTTAATATGGTATTATCTATTAGTAATTTCCTTAATATCCAATTTAGAAATGCCAGAGAGTTCTCAGTAGCCTCTTACTCAGAAAGTATAGGCTTTATAAGGACAAAGGGCAAATTATTCATAAAAATGTGTTATAGTAATTTAAAAAATTTTACCCTCTTTTCAAAAACATAGTTTGAGGTACTTTTACCTTTTAATTCAGGAATGTTTAGTATTGACAACATGATGGGGAAAGAATCACCGTCACCTTTTTGTGTTTCAAGATGTTTACTTGGGGAATAATAATGAATGTATACTACCAATTAAGACAATTCTAATACAACAAGGTGCTGCTTGGGTGGTACAAAGGGTTAACATGCTAACCAAAAGGTTGGAGTTTTAAGTTCACCAATAGGTGCCTTGGAAGAAAGGCCTGACATTCTGCTTCCAAAATATTGGCCATTAAAAACCCTATGGAGCACAGTTCTACCCTGAAACACATAGGGTCTCTGTGAGTTGGAGTTGACTTGATGGCAACTTTTTTTTTTTAAATAGAGTAAATACAGCTATAAGAGTTTTATGTTGTTCATCCATCTACAGTCACAAATTCCTCTAAGATTTAAACTGTGTGGCTTAAGCACCGACCCCTTGGCTCCATTCAGAGGTCATTTTCTCTTGGAATATTTGGAGTTGAGTGGATCACGTTTACTACTGGATCAGTGTGGACCATACCTGACTTCTGTAATGTTGCCAAACTCATAATTTCAACTCTGTTATCTGCCTTTTGGTCTACTTTATTTTGCTATGTACCCCCCAACACTATCAAAATGAGGTGGAGGTCTGCAAAACATATTTGCCTGAGTTTTGAAGAAAACAAGGAATGCTGTCATCACTTGTCTTAGAAACACCCATATATATGCCAGTACAGCTTCTTGCAGTGGCTCTCCATAGTACCTGAAGTTTTATCACCATCCTGGGATTTCATTTCTTCAGCTAATTCAACCTGTCCCTTTTTTCAGGTTTGTAACCAAAATCCCTGCATGTTTATTATGTAGAAAATGAAATATTTTTATTTAAGTATTTTTAATTAGACTACCTACTTATCCCTGAGGAGACTTGACGTTTGTAGCCATATAGACCGTTTCATGAATTTCCCTAAGAAAAAAATTTCCTTCTTGCTGGACCAATGAGCTCAAATGGCATCCATTTACAACTTTTCATAATAACTTTTCTTCAGATATTACAAATCAACATATAATTTAATTGAATCAAACACTTGTATAATACCTATTGCAAACTAACAAGGAGAGATTCAAGGCAGGAAGGAAATTTATAAGCTACTTCAAGAGATCAAGTGCGAGGATATACGCATGGAAAATAGGAATGGAAAAAAAAAGAGGGGTTAATAAGCCTGGTCTCTTTGGACTTGACATTAAAAGAAAAAGTGATTCCAAAGGTGAATCTGGAGTTTTTAGCATTGGAAATTGGAAATCTTTTGGTACTAGAAAAAGAGAGTCAACTGAGAGGTCCAGTTTGACGGGAAAGAACGGCACATGATGACTTAAAAGTGACTTTGTGTCATGTAAGTGAAAATGTCCAGCAGGCTTTAGAGGTATGGGAGGAGAGTGCAGGAGAGATGAACATTTGTGATGTAAATTTGTGTTTCACTAGCCTGGGTGACCGTTAAAACCCTGAGGATGAACGAGTTTTTTGGGGGAGACCGTGTTGAGGGAAAAAGAAGAGACTGGTGATATAGTGAACACTTATTTCTACTTCAGTCTTTAATATGGTTACTATAGGACTATGCTTAGCTCAGCAAGAACTAGGGAATGTATCCATGTGAAAAAGTTTTCAAGAAGAATAAAATATTAATCTGTAGAGAATTGATTTTTTTACCTACAAACATACTCTTCATACAATAGCTTAAATGTGTTAATAACTCTGAGTTATTATAATAATAGCTAACATTTATCCAATGCTTACTATATGCCAGATACTGTTTTACATGTAGTAACTCATTTATGCTTGCACACACAATATCATGTAGTTTATTATTTTTATCATTACCATTTTACAAAAAGAAAACTAAACGTAAATAGATGTTAAGGTATAGAAATGTTAATTAACATTTCTAAGTCCCTGTTGCTATTAAGTGGTGAAGCTGGCATCTGAAACCATGTAGTCTCCAAATGTATACTTTTAATCACTATGCTGTACTGTCCTTATATAAAACCATTCCTACACAACAGTCTTTGACAGGCCTTTGCCAACATATTCCTACTTTCTAAATAGTCACACAGTTGTTCTCTTTTGTGTGAAGAAAATGTGACTTTCCTAGGGCAATGTACTGAAAGGTTTCTTAATAGGTTGTACATGAGTCTCATTGGATTTTTAATGGAGTGGTAGATAGCATCTAGTTTGAAAAGAAATATATTAGCCTAGCATGTTGTACAGGAACAAAAGGGAATGCAGCACAGCAAAACAATCTGCCATGGTTTACTGCATCCAGGCCAATTTTTCAGCTGAAAAGCAGTGTGGACTTTTTGAAATAATAAAGTATTTATATCACAAACAAGGCTGAATGATACACACAAAGTTAAATTGCCATGATTTAAACCTCACACATTATTGGTATTCATTAATGAGGGTAGGATAATACTCTTCACTAACAAACCAATTTTGTATTGATTTAGGTAATTAGGAAATTGGAGAGTAGCTTCTAAGTTTCTCAGAGTAATCATACCAGAATACTTCCTCTTGGTGCAGACTTAGGCTGGGTCCATGTCACACTATAGGATTCAGTCATTTTAACGATAAGTCACTGAACCATGATTTCCAGTCAAGTGTCAAGCTGAAGTTTGAGTAATGTCAGAAAACGTGCAATAGGACAGCATGGTAAATCCAAGGCAAGACTGTCAATAAAATTTAGTGACTCAGAGATGGAAATGGATCATAATAGCAAAATACTAAGAACTAAGCATCAAGATGGAGCCTAGGTCCAAACTTGGTTAGTGCTAAATAGTATGAACGCATAGGAACTAAACAAAGACAGTGGTTGTAGGACAGAAACCAGTTGAATATTACTTCATTTCACAAACATATTATATAACCTGTACCACACATCTGAGATATAGGGATAACCATATATTTTTTGTCCTTGAGAATGTTTGCTTTAACCTCTTTCTATTTGGAATTGGCATGGTCAACCAAGTGCTTCAAAAAAGTGACATGTTTCCTATTTGTAAGCTTTCTTCTATAAGACCATGAGACAATGATATTCCTTGTTTTGTTTTTCTTACACAGATTGTTATTCAGGGTCAAATGATTTCAACTCATGAACAGGATGAAGTCATAGCTATTGATGATATATCTTTCAGTTCAGGCTGTGTGCCTACCAACGGTAAGAACTTCTTTCATTTTGATCCTTATTGTGTGTAATAAATCTAGTACAATTTAAAGATTGTAATGACTGTTATCTGCTTTTTATTTTTGTCTGATGTTTTAGTGTGGGTTATTTTCCATTATTCTAATCTATTGTTTAATAGTGACTGGATCTATGCTGGAAGTGAAGACAGGCTGTTTTTCTCTGACTCTAGTAAGAGTTCAATGGAATCATTTAATCTCAGAATTGAAACTGTGTAGTAGTGTTTACTCTGGCTGGTTAAATCTTACCAAAGGAGCTCTGTGCATTTTTAGGTGGCTGGGAGAAGACTGGCCTTCATAGACTTGAATATGTCCTCTTGGAGAATCAGCGAGTCTCATAATTTCACTGAGGGACAATAAAATAGAGAGAGATACTGGTTATTATCTATTGAGACTGAAACAACTAGATAGATAAGCCACATATATCAGATCTAAAAAGTTATCTATATTGGCCCCTTGGTTTTATTAACTGAGTAGTATTTAATTCCCCATTCACATTGTTATCAATAGAAAATTTCAGTGTTAAAATTATAATTTTAGGATGAAATATCTAATTTAGTCTAATAATCAAGCAAGAATCAGGCATTAGGATTTTTTTCCCTTTAAATTTTTATTATACTATGGAATAATATAGCAGAGTAAAGTCAGCTGTTTTCTAGAGAGGTTCCTAGTTCTAATTTGACACTAAGATATGTTAGTTGTGGTATGAAACAATATCTCAAGACCAGAAGAGTTGGATTGATCTACCTAAGAGTGGACCAACTCATCTCGATAAAGAGTTACTGTGCCTGTGCTGTGCCTGGGTTTTAAGCAGCACTCCTGCCAAGGAGTATACCAGCTTATAGGTATGTATATCTTGACACCCAGACCAAGGCTGGGTTTGATAGAAACTGGTAACAGCCACTTCCAACACTGAACTTCATAAAAGTCTTTTCCATCTTGGTATTATCAGTGTTCGGTATATACTAGGTAAGAAATCTCTATATTATAAATTGAAATGGACCTGGAGAATTGGAGAGCTTTAAGGAAACAGATTGTAACACTCCCCACATCCCTAATTTCTAGAAGTAAGTGAATTCTCCACAAACACAGTCAGTTAACCATTATGAAGCAAATTATTAATCAGCTCAAAGAAGAATTAAATTAAACAACTAGTTTTTCTGGTCTAACAACTGATTCCCCTTCCCCACCTTTTCTCACTCAATTTTGAGTTCCCTCTCCACTGTGATGGGTCCTGTGGGAAATGACTGCTTCATTCTATAGTGTTGCTGATATGTAAAGGCATTCAAAATTGGGCTTTCCCACTCTGTGTATGTTTGTGTCAGTGCTCCTAGTCAAGATGGTTTGTCAAGTACCAGTGGCAGTGACTGATTGACTTAGAGTAGCACAGAGTGTATAAGTGATTTACTAATTATTTTTACTGACTGAACTGAAGAGACTCATTGAAGGCGAACACCCGCTTACTGAGGAATTTCATCATACAACTTGAAAGAGCACATGGACGAGAAACTGAAGCAGCATTATTTTCTTCCTTCTCTAAACCACAGAAAATATATTCTGACAATGTTAAAACATTATTAAAGGTTAATAATTCCATATCTAAGTGTTAAATACTAAACTCTGCCTATGTATATCTGTATACATACACACATGTAATTAAAATGATGGACATATTGTTTACCTCTTTTTTTCAAAGATTTTAGCCCCACAACTCTTCCCGGCTTACTGCATTATTTTCTAATATTAATAATTTTGATCAATATTATTGATCATGTAGAGATGTCTATAAAATGTAGAGCAAAACTTAAGCCATGACATTGCAGAGGAGCATAGTAGTTTTGGAGTATAATTTTTTTTTTTTTTTTTGCTGCCTGAAACAAAAAACATAAAAATTTTCTTTTTATATTTCATACTTTAAATTTAAAAAATAGCTAATGAAATACTATGCAACCTTCAGTCCCATGGCAATCTCCCTATGGTATTTTCTATTTACTGTCTCTTACTCAGGAACCTCTCTTCAACATTGAACCTGTCTTTTCCCTGTATCTTCACCTCTTCTCTCTACTAACACTTTTCTTTCAGCATACTAGTAAATTGAACCTGGTACAGATTCAAAAAAAGAAAAAGCAAATAAAATTAGAACCTCCTCTTTCTCATTTTAGCTGTCAGCTTCCTAAGGTCACCTTTGCCAGATACTCAACCAATGATGTCAAGTAGAACTATAATACAAGCCACACAAGTCATGTTAAACCTTCTTGTTGCTACATTAAACAAGTAAAAAGAAATAGGTTAAATGAATTTTAATTATATACTCTATATAAACCAATATTCAAGATATTATTATCTGATCAAATAATATAAAAACATTATGAAGAAGACAGTTTGCATTTTTTGATACTAATTCTTTGATATCCATGGTTCATTTTTTACTTCCAGCACATCTTCATTCATACTAGCCATATTTTAAATGCTCAGTAGTCACATATGTTTAGTGGCTATCATGTTGGACAGTACAGTTCTACCTTATTATTCTTCATAGCTTCCCGTCTCAGCATCTCGCTATCCATATTTTGAGCACTAATGCTCAGAAACCACAGCTTGGATCACAGTTCCAAGCCTTTACTTGGCCAAGAGAGGGGTTGGACAGAGATTCTGTTCTTCTCTAGCTTCTGACATGAATATTTTCATGGTTTTATTCCTAGTTCTCTAGCTATTTCCCCAGCTTCTATTCTCCCACCTTTCACTTAAGTATCAGCATCACTTGGAATTCAGAACATGGACCTCTTTTCTACTCATTCTGTATACTCTCCTGAGATGGATCATCCTGTCCATGAATTCAGGCACCAGCACTGATAACTCTTTCATCTATCTTTCTTATCCATATCAGTCTCCTTAATTTAACTTAGCAAAAACTAATTAAAATGCTATTATGTGCCAGGAATAGCATTAGGATTACAAAGATGCTGAGATAGACAACCAAAGAGACAATTTCTATGTAATACAGTAAGTGTTGTGGTCAGAATATGAATAGAATGTTATGGGAACATAGAGGGATGCCTGAAGGATCAGACACAAATGAAGCACAGGGTAAAGCCAGGCTAAATAAGATAGAAGAAGCCATCTCCAGCAGAAAGAAAAGCTTGACCAAAGTAGGAATGAATAAAAATGTGGTATATGTGGTATTATATTAAAATGGAGAGCCCTGGTGGCACAGTAGTTAAGTGCTCAGCTGCTAACCAAAAGATTGGTGGTTGAAACCCACCAGCTGCTTCACAGGAGAAAGATGTGACAGTCTGCTTCTGTAAAGATTTACAACTTTAGAAACCCTATGGGGCAGTTCTACTCTGTCCTGTGGGGTCACTATGAGTCAGAATCAACTCAACAGCAACAGGTTTGGTTTTATTTTATTTTTTTTTTATTTGGAGATTCTGCTTGCAGGCAAGATGGAGTAGCAGGGACCAAATTCCCCCCAACTCCACCCCCACCTGAAGTAAGCAAATACAGACAAAATATATGATATTATGAGTTGTAATTCACTTAACATCAGGCAACAAAGATATCGATCTCAGAGTGAGGGAAACCAAGTGATTGCTATGATTACTGCCTTGACAGAGTTTTCAGGCTGTGGTACAGAAAGGGGGGACACAGGCAGAATCCTAAGCACTCCCGAGTTCCAGAGACAGAGTTGAGAGTTTGGGGAAGTCAAGGACTAGAATTGGCTGAACAGAGTACCAGAGAAAAGAAAGAACTACACAGAGAGAACTCCAGGGTTCTGTGGAGCATTACCCTTATTTATTCAGCTGAGTACTCATCAGCACATGCATCTGAGGAAACTACCAAGGCCAGAGAGAACCACTGAAGAGATTAGAGATAACAGTACCTGCCACTCATACAGGGTGGGAATAGTGTCTGTTCCCACCAACCAGACTGGAAAACATCAGGATTCCTGGTGCAATGGGTAAAGTACATAGACGTGTCTTGCCTCATTTGAGAAAAAAACAGAGAAAGAAAGAAAAAAAATAGCTCTACACTGAGTATCGCTTCAGGCTATCTAACAAATTTTAAAAGCATGAACAAAAGGATAAAGTTATTTCCAAGTAATTTAACTGCATCCAAGAAAAAGCTCAAGAATATTTATAGGAACAAAAAAATACCCAGCATCCAACAAGGTAAAATTAACAATGTGTGGAATGCAATAAAAAATTATCAGGCATACAAAAAACAGGAATATCTAACCCATAATGAAAACATAAGTCAATTAATTGAAACTAACTCAGAATTAAAACAGAGGTAAGAATTAGCAGATAATTACAATAACTGTATTCCATATGTTTAAAGTGTTAGCTATAGATATGGAAGATTTAAAAAAAGATCCCAAAAGAAATTTCAGAGATGGAAACTACCATATGTGAAATTAAAAAATATACTTTTTGGAATAAATGGTAAATTAGACATTGCCGAAAGCAGATTAGTGAAGGCACAGCAATGGAAATTATGTATGTATAAAAATAAAACATAAGAAAAACCAATACCAAAAAAAAAAAAAAAAAGAAGAACAGAAGTCAGTGAACTCTGGTGGAACTCAAATTGGCCTAATATACATGTAATTGTAGCCTCCAAAAAAAGGAGAAAGGGATTGGGTTAGAAAAATATTTGAAGAAACAGTGGGAAAAAAATTCAAATATATCAAAAAACTGTAAACCCACAGATCCATGAGCTTTCAAAGTTCAATAACAAGAAAACAACCTAATTTTTAAGAACTAGGTTAATAAAAAGTTGAATAGGCACTTCACTAAAGCAAATAAGCTCTTAAGAAGATACTCAAAATCATTAGAGCTTAGGATATGCATATTAAACACACAATGAAATAGAGAAACGCACTTGCAGCTCCACAAAAGATATCATGTCCTAACCCTTGAAACCTGTGAATGTTACCTTTTATAGCAAAGAAGAAGAAGAAGAGCAAGAAGAAAAGAC